CAGTCGCCGTCGATAGTCGTCAGGACTGCGCACAACCACTAGATTTGGCCAACCATGCGTCGATCTGGCTGGAAGGCCGAAAACGGTCATATAGCCATGGATCTAGCCGGAAAGCCAGATCCATTCTGGCCATTAACGGCCAAATCTGTGGCCCTTTACAGCCACGAATTTGGTCATTTTCGGCCAGATCCATGGCCATCTAGCCATTTTCGACCTTCAATCTGACCGAAAACGGCTTGATCAGCACACGGCTAGCCAGATTCGACTGGTCGTGCGCCGTTCCGACAACTTCCAGCGACTGCACCAAAGGCCGACAATTGTCTTAGGTGGCTAGGGGTATTTTAGGTATTATCCATGCAAATAGTGAGGGTATTTCTATCTAAAAAAAATAATATATGAGGTTAAATAAGTCATTTCGCACATTTGGGCTAATTGTTATTTAGTAGACATATGAAGGCATTTGTGTCCAAAACGTTTATTAATTAAGGGTAAAATTCATATGAACAATTGATTACTCCGATAATGAAAAAATAACACCGTCCTAGACAGTAATCAACTTACCTTCATTTTTACCTACAGTAACCACTATTGACATTAAAAGTTTACTGTAATCTTTCATTACTTCAAGGTAGCATTTGGTTCAGGGAATGTTATATTATTGAGGAATGTTGTATTACTGGAAAGATAGATTACTAGGGAATCTTTAGAGAAATGTGTTTGGTCGATTGGAATAAATTGATGGGTATGTTATAACAATATGTTTGGTTGCGATGATAAATGAGTGGGTATGTTATATAGATTACTAAATTGCCCTCATTTTAAAATAATAATATAATATTATTTTTATTATTATTTTATTCTATTATTTTTTAAATTGTTTCTTTTAACCCCCCTATATTTGAAATTTTACCAAAACACCCCAACCATATACAACTTTAATTTGTAGCAAAGTCACTCCCACTCACCCCAAACCACCGCCGGTAGCCACCACCACCACCACCACCACCGGAAGCCGCTGTAATGGCGCACGACCAGCTGGATCTAACTGGTCGTACGCCGATCAGGCCTAATCCGGCCAGATCTGGCCGTGAATACGGTCGTTTCACGACTAGATTTGGCCGTTTAATATGGCCATTTCACGGCCAAAGATGTGGCCGTGAAACGCCATAGATTGGCCCTGAAAAGGCCCAACTTTGGCCGTGAAACGGCGACCGTTTCACTGCCAAAGATCTGGCCTTTCACGGCCAGATACTATGGCGTTTCACGGCCAGACTGGTCGTTTCCAGCCATGGATCACAAATCCATGGTCGAAAATGTCCTTATCGGCACACGACCGGCAGATCCTACCGGTCTTGTGCCGATATGATGACTTTCGCCGGTGGCCAGCGGTGGTCTTGGATGATTAGGGGTATTTTGTTAATTTTTAAACTTTTGTGACGGGGGTGTTTTAGCTAAGTCTCAAATGTAGGGGGTCTGCGTAATTTATTTGGTAGACATATGAGGGCAAATGTGTCCGGAATGATAAAATATTAAGGGCAAATAGGGTAAAAATTATGATTACCCCGGTAATCTAACATTAAACACCCCTGGAAAGGTAATCTGATTACCCCCAATATTACCAATAGTAACCACTATTTGTAATAAATTTACTGTAATATTATATTACTTGACAAACAAACGAGGGAATCTTGAAAATTAAACAAAGATTACAGGATTATCTTATCACCCGAACCACAACGCACCCAAAATGTAGTTTTTTTTTTAATTGAAGGTAATCAAACATTTTTCCTATTCAATTAAGTTTTGACATTTGTTAATTGGCATGAGTGGGAGATGTGATGACTTCGTCAAACCTCAAGGATGTGAGTGATATTACCTACATATGGGTTCTCAATTATTTTTGAGCCCATAGGGGGCTCATTAATTATCCTTCCTTTTAAACAGAAAAGCAAGGCATCTTCACGTCCGAAAGCAGCCAAAAGTCGTTCCCAACCCCAATTCTACAGTTCACACGAAACTCCATCACATTCCTAATCCATTCCATCAAACGCTTGGAGAGCAAACCCAATCTCTCGCTCACTGCCATAATGGAGGATTTCCAAGCGCTTCCCCACTACTGGGGCAGCACTCCCGAGGAAGAATATTACCGTCGACAAGGAATACAATCAACAAGCTCATACTTCACTTCACCAAGAGGCTTATTATCTCTTTACCCGATCATGGTTACCCACCAACACCCTCCACGCGGCCTCCTCTGTATGGTCCATGGATACGGCAATGACACTGAGCTGGATTTTCAAGCCACATCAATTTGCTTGCCCAGATGGGTTTCGCTTGTTTGCTCTTGACATTGAAGGCCATGGCAGATCTCAAGGTATAAGGGCTTATGTACCAAATGTTGATCTTGTTGTTCAAGATTGTTTGTCTTTCTTTAACTCTGTTAAACAAGATCCTTCCTTAATGGGTTACCTCGTTTTTATATGGAGAATCAATGGGTGGTGCTATTTGTCTTTTGATCCATTTCGCTGATCCTGAAGGTTTTGATGGAGCAATTTTGGTTGCACCCATGTGTAAAATTTCTGACAAAGTAAAACCCAGATGGCCCATACCTCAAATCCTCACTTTTCTTGGAAAAATTTACCTACTTTAGCGATTGTGCCTACTGAAGATCTTATGTACAAGTCTGTTAAGGTGGAAGAGAAAAAGTTATAGCGAATAGTAATCCTTTGAGGTATAAGGGGGAAACCAAGATTGGGCACTGTTCTTGAACTACTGAGGGTTACTGATTATTTGAGTGGAAGATTGTGTGATGTGAGTATTCCCTCATTGTGTTACATGGAAGTGCTGATGTTGTGACTGATCCGAGTGTGAGTAGAGCTTTGTCTGAAGAGGCAAAGAGTGAAGACAAAACGATAAAGTTATGATGGGATGATGCACTCGTTGCTGTTTGGTGAGACAGATGAGAATGTTGAAATGTTCGGCGTGATTTTGTCTTGGTTGAATGGGAGGTGCGAAGAAAGAGCTTAATGAGTTCATTGAGTTGGTGATGAATTGTTGCGGCTTGATTATGAGCGTCTGCTTTGTTCTAGAATTGTTACTTATCTGTGTGGTTGTGATTGGGGAATTAAAAATAAAAAAAAAAAAAAAATCTGTGAATTTTGATGTTAAATATCTAACTTTGTTAATTGATCGATTGAAACTCAGTGAGAAGGTACCTGTACGGCTGTACCTCTATGGCTGTTGAATATGAATCCAAAAATTTCCTCTTTTTGATTGTGTGCTTACGAATTTAGATATTCAAAACTTTGCATTCAAAGAAACAGGAAGAAAAAATTACAGGCAATGAAATTGGAAAAAAAAAAAATATATTAGAGGTCCCACCGAGATTTGAACTCAGTTTACTTGATTCAGAGTCCAATGTCCTAACCACTAGACCATGGGACCTCCCTGGTTGTAGTATCAACAGCACTTATTTTCACAGGCTGAACATGTGGTTATTTTGGCATAGGACCAGCATGCGAAACAAGGCATTGTTTGGTACTATGTTTCAGTAGAGACCAAAGCTATTTCTATCTTAGTTTTAGTACAGAACGTAACAGATGCATTTTAGCCAGGCCGTAACCACAGAAAAAAAATAGAGATAATTGAATTCAACCAGACAACTATCGCAGCATTGTTTCGCTGTAATGTCATTATTGCTATATTTAACCAGATCCAGATGGTTCCAGTAACTATCCAAAAGATGAACCCATCCCTCCATCCATAACGGCATCTTAAAAAGAGAAAACTTTAACACCAAACCTTGGAAATGAGAAGGATACAAAAAATGACAATACTTATAGTAGCAAGGACAAGTTAACATAACAAAAGAACTACTGTCATTCAACTCTCAGATAAAAACTACAAAGTATCAATAATGCACTAATATAACCAATTTTTACCAAAGGTCTAAATTTGGTCATTTCTGTACCAGAAAGGGAGCAACAAAAACCCTATATCATTTACATTTTAAAGAAAGAATATCCATCTGTAATTTTACTAACTATATACTACTATTGACCTTCACATACTATACAAAGTGATGGGAGGTAAGAAGAGGAGAAAGATCAATTGTTAGAAAAAAAAAAAAAAAAAAAAAATTAAGACAAGAAAAAGAATCATGTGAATCTTTTCATGACTATGGCATAACCTTCTATAAAGTGGCTTCCTTCCCCTACTACTTTCTTTCAGAAACCTTAGTGAGGCTATGTTGATTCACTAAGGAGTGCCACTGTAACAACTGCAGATTCCGAACAAGAACCTATAGAACTGTATATGGGTTAGCAAAAAGGTATTGCCAAACCTGGTTAACTCAATCACACCATAAACAAGTAATTAAGGCATCCACTGTAAGGCGAGTTGTTGACACAGCTTCATCCTCTCCAATGCTGATGCAACCATCTCTCTCTTCTTTCGCTGCAATAGAACCAAGAATTCTTTGTAAACAAAATTTTCGAAACAAGAATTTATATCTATTAAACAAAGAAACAAATTTTCAGGATTCTGTCAACAGCAAAAGAAACAATCACAACATATCATACTTCAGTTTGTTATGCAAGCCATGTCAATTATAAACAATATATGCTCAGCTTCCCGGACAACATTTTGAAATATGATTGGAATCACAACTGCCTGAACAACATTTTGAAATATGATTGGAATCACAAATTGCTTTTAACTTGTTTTACAACATATCTCATTTTAACCAATCAAACCAACAACTAACTCAAGAATGTCAAATCAAGGCATCAAGTATTTCATCTAATAACTGAATCCATACCTTTTCGGGAATCAAGAATGTCAAATCAAGGCATCAAGCATTCATCTAATACCTGAATCCAGCTTTTCGGGCATGATCATGCCTATGTCTATATATTCTCTCTAATTATTTAAAACAGACAACATAATGATCTAACCTTATCAACAAAATAAAAAAAAATAAAAAAATAAAAAAAGCATACCTGGAGAGCCAAAATACGATCTTCAACTGTATTTTTCACTGTTAACCGCAATACCGTAACTGGACGAGTCTGTCCAATACGATGTGCTCTATCAATTGCTTGATCTTCAGTTGTTGGGTTCCACCATAGATCCAAGAGCAGAACATGGCAAGCAGCAACCATGTTCAATCCTAGACTAGCAGCTTTCAAAGACATAATCATGACAGACACCTACATCCAAAAGCATCAAATATTTTAGTAAATCCACTCTAAGCACCAAAGTAAGCCAATAAAGCACTCTGATTCTCTGAATGATTCATTGCCAAGACGGAATATATAGAATTTCAAAATTACAAACCTCTGGGAGGGTGTTAAAATCCTTTACAGCTTTGTCTCTGGCAACGACAGACATTGTTCCATCAAGTCTTCTGTACTGGATCGAAGAATCTTTAAGACAAGCTTCAAGCAAATCCAACATTTTTGTCCACTGTGAAAACACAATTGCTTTCTCTCCAACTACCTTAATAGAATCCTTTAAATCTTTCTCTGCATCCAATCTTTTTTCATCAGGAACATTGTTAAGTGAATCTCCTGCACGAATGTTATGTGAATCTTCCAGGCACCACGTGCTATCATCAAAAGAATTCTGTAAAGAACTATTTGATAGTGCAGGTTCCCTCGGTTTACCCAGTGACTGCAGGACCTCAAGAGCAGCCTTGATTTTGGATGATGAGAAACTGTCAGAACAAGGTTCTTGTGCCTTAACCAAATCAGAACCAGAGAAATCAGTGGAACTGTCCTGCCCAGTCTGCTGTGAGAGAGAATTGTTTAATGTTGCTTTAGAAAAAACTGAAGACACACTGAGCCGGACTTTGCAATTTGTTGTGGGACACTGATTATCATCACCAGTAAGATGTTCACAGATGCACTGATTACAAAAAACATGACCACAGACTGACACAACAGCATCTTCAGGGGGATCCTGTAGAAAAACCAGCAGAGGTGTCAGAAGAAAAAACCAGACCAATTTGCATTTCATCAAAACACTAAGTTGAAATTAATTAACAAAGAATTGCACGTCCACGAATATTAGCAAACAAGAAAGTAAAGTATTCATAACAACAGGATTGGTAATTTATTGGATAAGAGTAATCTAACCCCATAAATAGAAGAAACAACATAACAAAGTTCAGTTATCTGACATTCAATCACCTATAATAGCAACTAAAATTATGCCAGGTCGCTGATGATACGGAAAAAATAAAATAAAATAAAAACTGGCATACCCAAGCAAATTGTACAATGAGGTGCAATGCTTGCATCTAAGTATAATCATGCCCCTAATATCATAAGATATGACCATATGAAAAAAATTATATTTTATCACTTATGAGATCAAACACCGTATCCAGAAAACGATTTTCCTACAGCATCCACCAGATTTCATAAGAGGTTTGTATAACACACAATTTTAACCATATCACTGACTATACAGCATTTAATACTACAACCCATGGAAATGGTGATGAAGAACAAACACCATATAAGACCTTGAAACTCTGTTCCCCTGTGATAAAACTCACCAGGTCACAATACTTTTGTGTAGATAGAATTCATCAAAAACCTTAATATCAAATCAAACTATTTTTGCTATACATTTCAGTAAAACTGTTCCATTGTGGATTGGATCTTATAGATATAAACACAAATGCAACATAAAATCCACATTCAGCATACAGACCATGATTCTAATCTAGAGCCTCCACAATCAAAACTCCACTGACCATATCCATGACAACCCAGAGTACAAACTAGCTCTATTAAGTTTGAAGTCAGAGCCATTCCTAAATATAAACAGTTTAAATGAAACAAATAAAAAATTAAAAGCTCAAAAAATACCAACCAGAAATAGCAAAAAGGAAACATAAAAGGATGTAATTAAGTGGTAAACAGTACAGAAGGAAAAAAAAAAAAAAAAAGAAAAATCAAAGCCCCCATTCAGATAGGAAGTGGAACATATAAATGCAAGGGGTATAAAAGATTAGTTACAAAGATCAAGATGACAACTTGAAAACTAGGAGTATAACTATGCAAATAATATAAGTCACTACCAAAGCAAATGGACCTCATATATTTAAAATACTGAAACCAAATACAAAAAGAGTAACCACTTACATTGCAGATGCCACAAATTGCCAAAGAAGCTTCTAAACAATTGAGAAGGCACATTTGTTTCTCCCGAGGAAGTTTCTTAGCCATCTCAACTGAGGATCTCCACAATGAATTTGAATCAAACCCCTTGACAAGAAGAGGGTGATCACAAGCTTGACGAAGGCGCAAGAGCATCAATAAAATGTTAACATAGTTTTGCTTTACAGTTCCAGCAGCTGCATATTCCTGACAGAAGACATAAAATAAGCAAAAGCAGCTAAACATGCTTAATAAAGGAAAATAATCGACCACATGAAATAGAGAAGAAATCCAAAATCCCCAAACTACTTTCACAATAATATCAAACCTTAAACTGATCACGTGAATCAATCTCTAGTTGGTTGTAGAAATCACGTTCCTCCTTCGTAAAATCCACTTGTTTAAGCTCAATTACTTTAGGTGGCAAGTTAATAATGGGCTCCCCATCAAGAAGAGTGCCTAGATTACATAACAACTCATAAGAGACATTAAGACTTAATGTAATCTGCATATTAATGCAGGCCTCACAGCAATTCCATAATAGTGATACACAAGAAACCCTCGTTAGTTAAGATAATTGAACAAGCAAACATGTAAAAAATAAACAGTCCTCAAAACAGCTTTCAAAATGCTAAATTTTCAGATACCAGTCTTTTGAAAAAATAAAATAAAAATAAATTAGTGTTTAATAAAAAAAATAAAAAATAAAAATGAGATACAACCATACATAGAGCTTAAACTATAATTCAGGCACAATAAGTCCCTTTACCCTGTGTTCTAATCTTTTCTCAATCCAATTCCACTGTTATTTTACCAATATATAAGTGATTAACTGTCCAACAAAAAAAAATTATGTCAAACACAAAATGAACCATTGAAGAAAGACTCATAAAATATAAACAAGACCCCCAAAGTGAAAAATTGAAGACTAAAAAAACAGATGCTCTTTCAAGAAAGAATTGGTAGCTGTAGCACTGGCTGACAAGAGAACAGAGAATAACAAATAAAGACTTCAAACATTTTAGAATATCAGCGACAGATACAAAAGCTCTGACAGTTTAAACATAACACTACACACACTACACCCTTCGGACTTGGAGGATCATTTAATCACACAAAAACAATAGCATTAGCTATGCACTTTTTCTTTTAAGGGCAGATACACAATCAGCATACAAAGTATTAAATCTTACCTTTTGTTCGACGTAGCATAATTGTTTTCAAGACAGCTTGCAGCTTCCTGTAGCCTTTCACCGGATTTTTAGAAATTGGGACCTTTATTGTAGCACAAAATGACTTGTAGACAGCAAAAGGGTCATATCTGAGAAATCTGAAGTAGCTATAAAGATCATCAATGGCATTCTGAATAGGAGTCCCTGACAAGCACCACCTACGTTTAGCACGGAGACCCCAGCAAGCCCTAGCAACTTGAGTTCTGTGATTCTTTATGCTTTGGGCCTCATCCAAGACAACCCTAAACCATCCCACTTTTGCCAGAGGTCCAGCAGCCATCTCAAGAAGCATACCATCCACTCCTTTCTTGCGTTTCATACCTTTTTTATCAGAACTTGGTGGGTATTTTAATTTCTTGCCAGACCAATACATTGGTGAAACATCATCAACTTCTGCCTTTATTTTCTCATCATAATCTTCTTTATCAACAAGGGGCTGCTTTGGGACCTCCATGCTAACTATTGAATATGTCGTAATAACAACATCATACTTGGCCAACTCAGACGGATCCTTAGTTCGATTGCTTCCATGGTACACCAGAATAGAGAGACTTCCTTTGCTTGTTACCTTATTGCGCAACTCCTCAGCCCATTGCCGCAATACACTCGTTGGACAAACAACAAGAGTTCCAGCGGCTGGCCTTCCCCTAGCATGCCCCAGAGCGTTTAAATTCTTTCCTGTACTTCCATTGGACATAACTGGAGAGTAATCAGGTTCTTTCTTTATTCCATCCGGAGAGTAGTCAGATTCTTTCTTTATTCCATCATGCTCATAAGCTTCATTACCTTCGTCGTCGTCGTCGTCATCATCATCCAAATTTAGAGTTTCCAGTTTACATTTGCTAACATTCTCTGCTTTAGAAGTTGGAGGCCTTTCCTTAAGAATAAGTGCAATTGTTGATATTGTTTTTCCCAGTCCCTGCAATATCAATTTTATTAACCCAAATCAAATTCAGTCAATGATAGTCCACTAACTTAGCAATAAATATAGACAACCAACCTGATCATCTGCAAGAATTCCTCCTGAACAATGCAAGCTAGATGTCTCCTTTTGGACCATCCATGACAAAGCAATTCGCTGTCCCCAAGAAAGAGAGGGATTCAACAAAGCCATAAAGAAATCCACATTCTAATTTCCATTCATAAATACCAAAGACTTTAACATATAAGATTTTAAATAAAGGCCAGTTACATTGGTTCCCTATTATTTTATTCTCAATATTCATAAGTCAAAGGAAAACTCAAAATAACAAAGTAGAATTCTTAGCTTCAACATTCAAAATTTTAATTTATAGATAAAAAGGAAATTTTCCAAACCTGATGTCTCAAAAGAGACACTGCCAAAACACCATCAGGTGGACTAGCTTCAGATTTGGGCTGAGAAAGGTCCTGCAAGGCATCTTAGAACGTTAGATTCATTAACATATAAGCTACAAACTATATTTTCAAGACTAAATTTAATTCAAACAGGGTAACAACAATATTAAATCATAAATACCATTAGAGCATTAAAATGGATTCTACTTATTACTTCCTAGAACGAACTGTAAATAAATAAGAAAAATATATTCATTACTTGATGTTAAAAGCAGCACTTGACTGCTTAAAAATGTTTCTACCACTTAGCCAGGCCCTAAATATAAAAGAAGTCCCTTTGTTCACATGTCATCTTCACATATATCAAAAATGCTAAGCTCCTATGCAGCTAGTCAAAGCTAGCAGCCTCCAGTTTTTTTAGACAAATCAAGAAAAAGAAAAACAAATAATACATAAGTCCCTCTGTAAACTCCCTCGTGTCTCTTGCTCTGAAAGAACAATTAGATCTCACTGCAAAGTATCAAATATGACTTAGAAAAACCCAAGCAGCAATGGAAAATACCCAAGGGAATTTCCTTAATGTATAAATTTCAAAATTATAAGTGAATAGGCATGCCACCAATGTCTCTCTATTTATGCTTGCCAGTAACAATATCAATATGATATCTTCAATACCAGAAGGTGCTGACTGAATCATTGGAGTAGCTAGAGAAAAGTACAATTGAGAAATTGGCTTTCTTCTTATTTGCATCATCAGGCTGACTATCAATTACTCTTAATATGATCTAACTTAGGGACAAGCATATGTACAAAAGAAACAAGGGACACTTCCATACTTCAAAAGCAATGTAGGAAGGTATCATTGTATAGAATTATTGACTGGCATCAAAACTTGAAGCAAAATTAAAAGCACCCAATTCATATAGACCATACATAAGTACCCACTATTACACTAGATATATTCGAATTGTAAAATAGACAAAAAAAGGGAATATGAGCTTTACACATTCCACGTAAACAATGTATTCCTGAACTCAAAAAAGCAAGCACAAAAATAATCCCCAAAAAGTATACCAACCTGCAGTGCAGCTTGAAAAATTAACCGCTCGTCACATGCCCTAACCCTCACACCTCCAAATCCAGTTTGAGGCACTCCAGTATAATTCAAAGTATCACTAGAGTGGTATGGTGTAACAACAGGCTTTCCAAATGCATTTGAACAAGAAGCTTGATTCATATTAAAACTCTTTCCAAGTACTACAGATTGATTAGAGCGGGCAGGTTGACTGATATCTTCAAGTATACATATATCAAGGTCATCATCAACAAGAGATTTGCAATCAGAGGAATTACTGTGAATTGACTCAGGGCTCACTTTTGGAATATTGGAACCCATACTCCTAGGTTTAATCAGTTCAACCTCCTTCTCTTCCTTAAAACAACTTAACTGTTTCTTGTTTAGCACAGATGCCTGAGCACCTGGAAAATATTGGCCCGAGGAATTTAAACGCAAATTCAAATCTCCACCATCAATGAGAGGTCTAGCAGAACTTCCATTAATGGTTTCTTGACAAAGTCGAGCTCTCTTAGATTCAATAATCATGCCTTCTTTCTCCTCCTTAGCATGAACCACATTCTTCTGACTTGACAAAGTCGGTGCTACACCAGTAGACAACTGTTTTGAGTAATCAAAAAAATTGCCACCGTCATGGTAAGAAGAATTTCTACTGACAACTTCGTCAACCAGTTCAACAGAACCACTGATCGTGCTTCTAGAGGCAATTAGTTCACCATTTCCTTCATCCTTGACACAACCCGATTGTCTCTTGCTAGAAAAATGTGAATGAGAATAACCAAGTGACTGGGTAGATGCCTTGCCATCAAAAATTCTATTGTCCATATCTGATAGAGAATTTCCGTAGATTGGTGAAAAATAATTACTATCTTCACATCTAAAATTCTGTCCATTTACATCAAAGCAATCAATCAATGATAACTCTGATAGAGATCCATTACTTGTTCCCCCTTGAGCATTTATAGTCATCCTACTACTTGAGCAAGCACTCTCTGTTGGAAACTCCCCCAGATCGCTTTTGTTAGTTGTAATTTCTTCATTACTGGGCAAAGATAGGAAATTGAAACTAGATGGATCTTCCAAAAATGTATTATCTGGACTCATGTAATATTGCATAGTTGAATAATGGTCATCAACATCGCTAATAACTTCAGAAATATGACAGATAGTAGAATCAGTTGAAGCCACATTATGTGAAGCCACATCTGCATCCCTGAAGGGCACAACACAAAATGAATACACATTATTTTCCAGTACTCCTAATGATCCTGACCTAGTTCCTCTCATATCACCACCAGATTCATATTTTACATCCAAATTCTCCAAGGTATGGCTGTATGAAGCATCTACAACTGTCAAAAAACACAGAAATCAGCAATTGAAGCATAAATGAATTTTCCACAGCAAACATTGGAACGCACAATATGAAGAGCTTACATACATTTGGAATCAATTTGACTTCCCATCTGCCCAAACTGAATTCTGGCTGCACCGTCCAGCACATCAAAACCCTTATTATCTCTATCATGAAAAACATGGTTTCCATCTCCTTCAGAGAAACTAGAGGCCGTACTACAACCAGGTGTCTCAAATTGAGATATTCCAACCCTTTCAGGTCAGCAAGTCCCTGAAGTTGGTGAGAACCAGTCATTAAGACTAGCAGAGCAAGTCTGTACAGGATAGCAGGTTTGTTCTGTGTGTTGCAGTTTGCTATGGTAATCACCTGAACTCCCTTTTCGATCATCTGAAGCTTCCAAGTTATATGAAGGGTAAGATGTAACAGGACCCATAAAATCAACTTGGTATCCTAAGCAATGAATCAAGAATAAGAGGATTTAAAATGAGATATTGCATCCCAATCTATTGTAATATCTCAAATACACATCAACATCTCACTAACCATCTAACAAATGAATATTATGATATATGTCACAAGCAGTAAACAAACAATAACACCCATATAAACTTTTTACCATTTTGAAGCTGCAAATTATTGTGATTTCCGTCCTCCACGGCTGACTCTTCTAGTGATGAATTCTTTAGTGATGAATCTTCTGGACTACTCTGCAATTTGATACTTAAAGTTCAGAATCCTGAAAGAATACTCTTTACACAGTTGGCAAAGTAATTGACTCAAGTAACAACAGTAGAGATACACAAAACATTCAACCCTCATGCCTGATAGGAGATATTCATACTAATTTAAGAATGATTAAAATCCCACATAAGCATTGACTACAAGTTTTTTATTTCAATATCTCATGGCCAGATCAATTACCATTGATAAACATAATTCCAGAAATCCATCACAACTGAAAAAATAGCATGAACTACTTCAACTGAGGCAGTATCAGGAGTGGAAAAAACTTCCAATAACCTCAAGTTTCAAAAATTCACCTCTGAGTTTCAAGAGCTATGTACACACTGAACGTTCTACAAATCTAAGGCCAAAGTCAACAGGAAACCAGACCGATTATATCTTTATATTCTAAATTCCAATAAAATCATTCTTCGAGAACTGCGACCAGTTCAGCTTCACCCACATCACAGCCACTCATAAATAGTTTTAAATTTTTCTTCTTATACTTCTTACTGCTTCATAGCAACAATAACCATAAGTAATTAAAAAAAAAAAATGGTTATTAATCACTCCTTATGCAACCTGCTAACTCTTTTTCTTTTCTTCTCTAGATTGATGACCAATAAAATAAGTACACAGGTAAACAAAGAATAACAGCTAACTAAAGTTTAACGCCAACTAAAAAACTCGGTGTCTTCTACAATTCGATTAAGAAAAGAAGCTAACAACACAAATATAAAAACTCAATTACAGATTATAAACCGCAAGACGAATCGTTCCGATCCAAATCCGAAATCTTCGATCGAAAAAACCCTACCTGCACTCGATCAGGCTCCTTTTCTTCGAGAATATCTAACAAAGTCCCCATATCGATCGACAATTCTTCACCCAAGTCACTGTCAAAGTAATCGTCAATCGACATGCTGCTCTCCGCCATCAACATCGCAAAATTTTAAAAATAAAAATAAAAAATCTTTTAAAGAAAGAAACCCTAATTACTCCAAAATCCTTCCTTCTTCCAGATTCTTAAACCTTGTCTGTTTGGAATCATCTAGCAGTCGGATCCAAACAGTCAGAATCGCATCCTAAAACAAATTCAAAGAATTTGAAGAAGGATGTCTCCTTAAGAGATGCGGACTTTTTCTTGCTGTAATGGTGGCGCACGTTTAAATAGGGATTGGTTAAGGAGCGGGTATGCGCAGGTTAAGGACTGATTCTTTTTGTTAAAATAAACTGGGAGGGAAGGTGAATAGAAGGACGATTTTCTTTTGTTTTTTCAGTAAATATTTCCACGCGATTTTAACGCGTATGTCTTATATCGATTCACGTGAAAATTTAAATAAATTTATAAAATCATAAATTATGTATATAAAAAGCTTGATTTATTAAAGAAAATATATGTATTATTTTGTGATTCTGTTAAAAAAATATTATAAAATATATACTAAATAACATTACCTACTACCAAAAACCGTTAAATGAACAATCTTATCCATAAATTCAAATGCTAAATATTAATTATTAAAGAATTTGTAAGATAAACGCCTCAAATAATAATAAATAAATAATGTGAAAGCCTGACCCGTGAAGCGTGACGTGGGCGATGACAATTCTTCTAAAAAAAGGTTTAAGCTACTACCACTGCTCCTTGTTTTAGTCTCATTAGTGGTTAGATGCCTAATTCTGTTTTGTTATGCGGGCGTTATACACGCGAAATGCCGTGCGAGTGAGATTGGAAAGGGAAAGAGAAACGCTTGGGCCTGCACCGAAATTTCCAGGCTGCTCAAGTGAAGGGAAGGGGGATTAAAAGTCATAGTTACACACGACGTCGTTGACGATGCTTATGCTCGAGACTATTACCGCATGTGAACGGAGTTTATAAAAGGTTTTTCAGTTTCATATAATTATTTTATGAAGCGTTAATTTGAAGACTTAGCATGTAACATGTGTTGGGAGTTGGGACATGGGATTTAAATTTTATCTTCTTTATAAAATCTTAGGATCCCTTTTTATCGTAAATAACGGAATTTCCAACTTTTGTAAATTTTTTTCTTAATAAACACTTTCAATGATTTGAAATCAGTTATATAAAAAATAAACTTATAATATCTCTCTTTTAATCAATTCAAAGTATTTTATAATTTAAAAAGTATATAAATATAAAAACTCTCATACAAAATACATATATATCTTCATAAATAGTTCACTTTTGGAATAATATATATCACTTTTTTTTTTTTTTTTTTTTTTTAATGACCAATGGTGTTTCGATCAACTTACACGTAACTTCAACTAATCTTCTGGGATCTTAAAATTACCAGTCAGATAAAAGCTCTGATGGTTATGTATATCGCATATTACTCTAAACGTATAGTATGAGACCTATCTAACAAATAAATAAATAAATAAGAATGAGACCTATCTAACAAATAAATAAATAAATAAGAAATTAAATCATGTGTAAGTTTTTGGTTTGAATATGATTATAATAATTCAAAATTCTTATCTATTGTTTCAAGAAACGTAACTTATATATAATCTAACATACAAAATAGCAATAAAGTTTTATTAATCTTAGTCTTTTCTGCATTTGAAACTATATTATAAGATAGTATTAGAAATTATTTTGCAAAAATCTTAACTGAAATTTATAATATATATTTTGTATTTAAAAGTAAACAATTCTATAAATTACTTTAGTCAACATGGAATTAGGTATAAAATGAGTGAGACTTGCTCGTAATTTCCATTTTACAAATAACCGCTGCAGGATTTCTTTTAAGTTACTAATTTCTTATTGGGTTGGGCTTAGGAATAGGAATCCATGTAAAACTAGGTTTAGTCTCTTAAACCTAGTATCTAAGCCTACTTTTCTCTTGTTATGGGTGAGAGAGCATTCATTCATTGTAAACGGAGAGGTGAGGCATATGCAATAATATTGACTCAGCTGACGTAGCCCACATTGGGTGACCCAGGGTAAATCGTGCGTATTATTTTCTTTGTTTACTGTTTGATTTGTTTTACAATTATATTTTGTTCCTGTTTTTTGTCTCTATTTCGTTCAATTGGTATCAGAGCAAGGTTCTGTTAGATCGTGATTTAGAGATGACGGGATCAAAGGTTGAGATTGAAAGTTCGACGGCAAACGCTTCGAGCTTTGGAAACTGCGATAGAGGATCTACTCATTGATAGGGCCTGTGGGGTGCAATTGTGAATGATAGGCCGACAGTCGGGACTGCTGTTGTTACAACGTGAAACTCTGGAACTGCATTGTCAATGTACGCTTGGTCTAAACCTGCTGAAGGAGATTATCAGCGATTGATCATGCCACACTTGCTGAATGGGACAAGATGGATCGGAAAGCCAGAGTTGATTCGCATCTGTCTTGAGGACTCTGTTCTAACGAATGTGATGGATCAGGATCAGGATACGGCTAGGTATGGTTTATGGCAGAAGCTGGAAAATATGTTCTGAGTAAGTCCTTGGTGAATGTGCTGTTCTGTCGAAAGAAACTCTACAATCACCATATGCATGATGGGGATTTTCTTGCTGCACATCTGGATGAGTTTAATACTCTGGTGAATCAACTGCTGGCTGTGGATGTACAACTCACCGAATCGAGAAAGTGGTAACTGTTATGCTCGCTGCCTGATACGTGGGACAACCTGATTGTTGCGATTGGTAGTGGAGGATTGACACAGATGTCGTGGGATCTTATGTTCTACATTGTTGATATGCAACGAAGAGGTTCAGAGGGTTCGTCTAGGGATGCTTTAACTGCTAGGGGACGAAACCTTGATAGGAATTCTAATAATGTCTGGCGACAGGGGAAAGTCGCGAGGTAGATCTAAGAGCAAGGATAAAAGTAAGATTAAGTGTTGGAGATGTCAGGAATTTGACATTTTAAGAAAGACTGCAGAAACAAACCGGTGAAGGGGAAGGAAGCTGAAACTTCGTACAACGGGAATCAAATGGTGATATGTTGTGGCTGCTGCATGTATGGCTGGATCAGACCATCAGTCTGGTATGTTGATACTGGTGCGTCATTCCATATGACACCTAACAAGGATGGTTTTGTGAGTATGAGATATACAATGGGAACTTCTGTTAGGACATGATACTGCTGTGAAGATTTGGCCCGGAAAAATCAGGCCGAGGTTGCATGATGGTTAAGTGAGGACGCTCCCTGAAGTGATGCACATCCCTAGTATGAGTAGAAATCTGCTCTCTGTTGGAACAATGGCTGACGCAGGTATAGTATTCAATTGTGACAGAACATCCTGTAAGATGACTCGGGGCTCTATGGTTATTGCACGAGGAGTTCGACATTGTATACTATACAAGCTGCAAGCATCAGTTGTAAGAAATTCCTCCTTGTGGTTTATGTTTCGGAAAAGGAGGCTGAAAAAGAAATTGATTCTACAACATTGTGGCATCAGCGAATAGGGCACATTGGAGAGACGGCTTTGCTACTTTGGTGACTCAGAAAATGGCTAAAGGTATTCCTAACTGTTCCATGAGTTTTCGGTTTTGTGAGGAATGTTTACAAGGCAAGCAGAATCGGTTAGTTTTCAATCGACAGGCACGAGAGCAACAAAAATACTGGAGTTAATTCATAGTGACGTTTTTGGCCCCCTCAGTGGAATCTGTTGGTAAATCCAGGTATTATGTATCTTTCATTGATGATTTTTCTAGATACTGTTGGTTTTATTTCATGCGCACAAGTCTGAGGCCTTTGGAAATTTTGGGAATTTAAAGCCTTATTGAGAATCAGTTTGACAGAAGATAAAGCTTTGCGAACTAATAATGGCGGTGAGTTTTGCTCTAGTAAGTTTGAGCAATTTTGTGCAACACTGGAATTGCAAGGTAGAAAACTACACCTTACACACCTCAGCAAAATGGAGTGGCTGAACGTCTCAATCGGTCACTTTAGAGAAGACTAGATGCATGCTGAATACGACAGATTTGGGGTCTGAATTTTGGCTGAAGCTACAGCGATGGCTTGTTATTTGAAGAATCGGTCTCCCACTTCTTCTATTAAAGACATGACGCCATATGAAGCTTGTATGGTAAGAAACCTAATCTATCTTTTATTCGAGTTTTTGGTTGTGATGCATATGTGCATGTGCCAAAGGAGAAAGAAAAGCTTGATAGTAAATCTGAGAAGTGCAAGTTGTGGGGTTCAAGGATGGCATCAAGGGATACAAGTTGTGGAATCCTGTGAGTAGAAGCATTATCACACAGAGATGTATCTTTAGAGAGTTAAAACAACGTGTGGGAACTCCTGAAGATCTTGAGCATCAAAGAAAATTCAGTTTGATGTGACTACAGTAGAGCAAGAGGAGGAATACTCCTAATGTTGCTGCAAGATTGAAAATTTAGAGTCTACAGAATCTGACCATGAAGATAAACTTGATAGTGTGGCGATGAGGGTTCTGTGATGATTCTGAGGATGATTTTGATGTGAAGTTGTGGCGCCATCAATTTTGAGGAGATCTACAAGAGTTAGAAAGGCACTAGTTCGTTCTCTCTAGTGCCTTGAGTGGATTACATGCTTTGAATGTGATTGGTATGAACCTAGGAATGTACATGAAGCAAGAGCCATGGAAGATGCAAATCTGTGGGAGTTTGCGATGAATGATGAGATGCAGTCACTGGACAAATATTACATGGATCCTATGTAAATTGCCTAAGGATAGAAAGGCAATTGGTTGCAAGTGGGTGTTCAAAAGAAAGTTGCAGGCAATGGGACAATTGCAAAGTATAAGGCGAGACTCGTTGCAAAGGGTTCTCGCAGATTGAGGGTGTTGATTATGGTGAGATTTTCTCTCCTGTGGCCAAGTTAACATCATTAGGTATGTTCTATCTATTGCTGCTGCGGATGATCTTGAAATTGAGCAACTTGATGTAAATACGGCATTCTTACATGGAATTTAGAGGAGGAAATTTACATGAGGCAACCTGAGGGGTTTGTATGTAAAGGGAAGGAAGACTTGGTGTGTAGGTTGAGGAAGTCTCTGTATGGGCTTAAACAATCACCAAGGATGTGGTACCAAAAGTTTGACTCTTATGTTCTTCAGCATGGTTTTAGCCGCAGCAACGTGGATCACTGTGTGTATTTAAAAAGGTTAGAAAATGTCTTTGTTATTTTAACCTTATATGTAGATGATATGTTGCTGATAGGGAATAGCAAGGAGTTGATAAATGCTGTGAAAGGTTTGTTGGCTACACAATTTGACATGAAGGATCTTAGGGCTGCAAATTTTATTTTGGGTATGCAAATTACTAGAGATCATCAGAGTTGTAAATTGTGGTTAGGGCAGAGAAAGTACATCGAAGAGGTGTTGAAGAAATTTAACATGGTAGATTGCAAACCTGTGAAGACTCCTATGACTTTGGGAGTGAAATTGTCTACTGATCAATGTCCTAAGTCTGAGGGAGATGCTGAAGAAATGACACATGTGCCTTATGCGAGTGCTATAGGTAGTTTGATGTATGCCATGGTGTGCACGCGACCCGATATTGCACAAGCAGTGGGAGTTTTGAGTCACTTTATGTTAAATCCTGGTAAAGAGCATTGGAGTGCTGTAAAGAGGGTTCTTAGATATCTTCGTGGGACCTCGGATTTATCATTATGTTACGAAGGCATGGCGACTAGAGATGAGCTAGATGTGATAGGCTTTGTGGATGCTGATTGGGGAGGTGATTTCGATAGTAGGCGTTCCACAAGTGGGTATGTATTCTCTTTATTTGGTGCTATTGTTTGTTGGATGAGTAAGAGGCAAAGTACTGTGGCTTTGTCATTGATTGAGGCAGAATACATGGCATTGACACATGCTGGCAAGGAAGCTATATGGCTTCGAAGATTGAGTTTAGAGCTTGGTTTCAAGCTTGATGCTGTGAAGATTGGGTGTGACAATCAAGGGGCTATTTACTTAGCCAAGAATCCTGTCTTTCATTCGCGATCAAAACACATTGACATACAATACCATTTCATCAGGCAAAAGGTGGAGGAAAAATTGGTGGTGTTAGAGAAAGTTGATACACTTGTTAATGCTGCAGATTTTCTTACAAAGGCAGTGAGCTTAGCAAAGTTTACATGGTGTGTTGATGAGGTAGGCCTTCATTGTGTGAAGTATTCGCCAAGTGGGAGAATGTTGGAGTTGTCAACTACTTCAACATTAATGGGTAATGGAGACACACTCGGGGCTCCCGCTGTAGGATTTCTTTTAAGTTACTAATTTCTTATTGGGTTGGGCTTAGGAATAGGAATCCATGTAAAACTAGGTTTAGTCTCTTAAACCTAGTATATAATCATATTTTTTCTCTTGTTATCGGTGAGAGAGCAATTTATTCATTGTAAATGAGAGAGGTGAGGCATATTGCAATAATATTGACTCAGCTGGACGTAGCCCACATTGGGTGAATCAAGGTAAATCGCGCGTATTATTTTCTTTGTTTACTGTTTGATTTGTTTTACTATTATATTTTGTTCCTGTTTTTTGTCTCTATTTCGTTCAGTTTGTAGGGTGGCCTTGTAGAGTAGCCTAGTGGAGAGGGTTGACTTGAGGTGTGGATAAGCTCGTAGAACAGGCCAAACCATAGAATGGATCTTCTCACAAAATGGGTCATCCCGTTAGATGGTCTCTCAACAAGATGGTTTTAAGCATGGGCCTAATCAGAATTGGGCTATTGCACTAGGTTGTACGTAGTTTTTATTCGTTATTGGGCATGGCAAGCTCTAATTCGATTTTTGGCTTATACAACTATTTATTCATAAAGTATAGTATTTTTATATAATTAATTATTTGCCCTAAGGACTTAGCATGGTGGTTTATTAGCCACTTAAAAATATTTATTTTATTACTTTTTATTAGTTATTTAGAAATGTGTTTAAACGTTGACTATGAGAGAACTCTCTTCTCCTTTGAAAACATTGACTGTTAAACCTAGTGAATTATAAGTCGTAAGATTTTATAAGTCGTAAGATTTTATAAGAAAGTTTCCTTTATTAGTTATTTATTACATTTGATTAGTTATTTAGTGTTGGTGGCCTTTTTGCATTTTTGAAAAGTTAACAAAAAAGTGAAACACATACAACGAAATAGGTAATGAATAACAAAGATACACTATTGGCTTAGGTCTAATGGTGGACCACTACGGTCTTTTTCTTGGACTTCGGCCAACCCGTCACCTCCTTACAAGAGCTCACTTCAAAAAGCATCCCGTTGTAAGCCTTATCATGACTCAAGTCAAAACAAAGAAGACCAAGGGAAACTTTTATGGAGAAAATGTGAGAAAGTTAAACATCCAACTTGTTAGTGAAAACATGCATGTTTAAGAAACATTTCAAGTGATCAGAATAATGAAATTGAAGCCAAAAAATTTGATAGAAAAATCAGATTTCGAAAATGTAGAAAATTCAAGGAAAACAAAGTTTTGGTCTAACGAAGATCATATCTGATAGCTTATGGGAAATCTACAAGGTTTGCGAGATTTGGTCTTTTGACTTCAATTTTGAGTATAAAAAAGATTTATTCTAACCTAGGATTTATGAATGTAAAAATACGAAAATTCTCCCAAAAAATGTAAAAAGGGCAACAAGAGGAAACCCGAAGAGGTGAATAGATTCCAATGTTCGTGGAAGATTTGATTTTGATTTTTTGGTGTGATTTGTATGGTGTTTGGGGACTGATTTCATGGTTGGAGTGTTTGGGAATGATAGATGTAGTGTTTGGGTGTTTAGATTTGATGGAGAAATGGTGAAAGTGGCTAGGATTTTGAATCGAATCTCTCGGTTTCTCTTTTATTTTGGAACAGTGGTTGCAAAATAATATTGGAATGTTAAGAATTCTTTAAGGCCTCGTTTGGATTAAGGGATTTTAAAATCCATGGATTTTGTACAATCCATGGATTCAAAATCCATGTATCTGATAAATTCCATTGTTTGGTTTAAATATAAAATCCATGGATTGTTGATTCAAATTTCCATGCACTCATGTTTGGTTAGATGAATACAATCTATGGATTCGATAAATAATTTTCAACTTTACCCTAAATATCCAAAACCAACAAAAATTCAACTTTCATCTAATTAAATACAAGTTAAGTTATATTTGATAGAGAAGTCCAATTATAACAAATAATTTTTTGTGATTTGGTTAAAAAAAAAAAAAAAGAAAATTCCAAGTTAATATAATATATTATCAACTATCTTCATTCATGATAATTTCAATAGTTGAATAATTTAATATTGAAACATATAACTTAACCATACCTATATAGAAAATTAGTGTCAATATAATGCACTAGCACCATGTCCAAAAACATACGAAACTTGCTGGAATATTAGCAAGTTTCATCATAGCATATTAGTGTCATAAAGCACTAAGCATTACAAAATAATCAGTTGCTAGTCATGCATCTGGAATCAAAAAAGCCAAAACATATGTCTTCTTCGAACACTTCATCATCTCAGCTGAAGAAGAAATCAGTTTCAAATGGGCATTTGACTATCTTTCTTGTCATAGCCAATCTTTGAATTTCAGAATGTCATCAATCTTTTTCAGCTCCTCATATATCTTCTTCCTTCTCATAGCTGCATCTTGTTTATGTTGAAAACAATCAGCAAGTTTAGAGATATGCTCACCTGCACCCTTCAAGACACCTTTTAGTTTAGACATTTGACAAGAAAAAGATTCCATGAGCATCTTGGTATCAGAAGTTTTTTGCTTCTTTTTGGCATGTTGTTGTTGACAAGTAGATGGGCCAGCTTGGTTTGCATTTTGGTTGCATGTAGAATAAGCAACATGACTTGCCTTATGGTTATTTGGTGAATCATTGGTCATGAATTGTGATTGTATTTCCTCATTCTCATCATCTAACAAGGTGTGTGAGGAAACATTATGCATAGAATGTAATCCTTGCATTTGTTCTTCTCTTTCAAGCTCTTCAACAACATTTGCAGGAGAATCCGCTGCCGCTCCAATTGCTTGATCTTTGCCAAATATTCGAGCAAGTTGGTCAAAATAGGGAAATGGCTTGTTTATAAGTCCATGGGTATTAGGATGAAACTGTTCAATCAAAGAAATATATATAATATTATTATTAGGACAATAAAAATTGTCTTCATAATTAATATGTAGCCAAGATTTTATATATATATATATATATATATATATAAAGTTCAAACATCGAAAGCAATGAGTGTGTGTAGATAAAGAGAGTTTACCTTAACTTCTTCAAAAACACTTTCATCAGCAGTGATACAATATCGTTTCGAATCCCATTCAAATCCTGAGCAACTGTCTCCTCGCATTTCACAAATGGCTTGATATTGTTTTTTAACATATTTATGCCTTGACTTAATATGAGGATTAGCCTTCTTGGAAAATTCAGGTAACCTTTCTTGCATGTATTTGTGTAAATCTTGAAAAGCTCCATTTTTAAATGTGCCATTTACCACCTTTCCAGTATCTACCAGATGTAGCATCCCACAAACTAAAAGAGCATCTTCTTCAGGTTCCCCTGCATTATAATTTCTAGTTTGTGAATTAGTGTCATCTTCCTTTTTGCCCATCCTAATATTTTCTATATACATGCTTTAAGAAAAAAAATGAATAATTAAAACAATCCACAAGAGAAAACTAAACATATAAAAATATATATCAATAACTGATAAAAGTAAACAAGTTTATATATATATATATATATATCTATATATACTATATATATAATAATCTATATATAATAGTGTGTGTGTGTGTGTGTGTGTGTGTGTGTGTGTGTGTACATTAAATCATGCACATTCCAAGTTATCTCAAGTATCCAAATAGCAAAATTAATTCCTGAGTCTACTATTTTGCCAATTGTTGAACATTTGCACTGCTAAGTTTTCTCTAAACTGATTCCACTCCTTTGAGGACTCAACATAATTAATATACTCATGCGGAAGTGCAGTCCCTTGTGGATGGTCTTCATCTAAATATATAGAATCGATTGGATCTACACTTATCTCTTGTCTAATCAAATTATGAAGGATGCAACAAGCAGATACAATCCTGCCAACTGTCTTGACCGGAAAACCACGATTGTTCTCTCAAAATGGTCCACCTCAATTTTAATACACCAAAGCACCTCTCAATTACATTTCTAGCTCTAGAGTGCTTCATGTTAAAGTACTCTTGAGGAGTTGCAGGCTGACTTCCTTGTCTCCACTTATTAAGATGATATCTTTGACCTCTATATCGAGTAAGAAAACCCTCACAATTTGTATAGCCAGCATCACACAAATAATAGTATCCTATCATGACAAAATTAAATTTTATTTAGATATAAATTCTAATTCACTTTAAGATTCCTAATGTAATGTATATACTTCATAATAGTTACCTTGTGCTACTCTAAGACAATTTCTTCTAGTTAATGCATTTATCAAAACTCTACCATCATGCGTTAGCCCTTCCTATCCTGGTAGAACATATATGAACTGCATATCCTGTGAACATACTCCTAAGACAATCATAGCTATCTCATTCTTTCTTGTACGGTGCTGATACAAGATTGTGCACCAACCAGAGTGATCCGATTGACCTTGACGAAATCGGAACCAATGTGTACGTAATTAAAAATAACTAGCAATGTATGTGAAAAGCAATAATAAAAGTGACACAGGAGAGTTTTAAAGTGGTTCGGCAAGTTAAGTTCTTAAGCCTACATCCACTATTCTTTGTATTTGCTGTGAGAGCTTACAATAGTGTTCCTAGAATAATTTGCTAACCCCTTTCTCATTGTTGGAGGGGGTTTATCTACAGATTTTGTACAAAGGAAAGAGTGAAAAATAAAGGGATTACAATTAAGATTAAAATGCAACTCCGATATTCTCATGATTGAGCACTAAGATTGCTGTCAATTTGATTCCTTCCAAGATATTCGAGATCTGAGGTTATCTATGAGCTGGTTGAACAATTGTTGAGATTGGTCGCGACTAGCTTATGTTGGATCGAGCTACATCTTGAGGAGCTTATGCTAGGTCAAACAATCGTTTGAGCCGAACTGACTCTGGATCGGGCTATAACCTTGCACTATTCTGAGCTTGATGGAAAAATCACACACAACATCTACCCCTTAGTGTTTGGTGCTCGTTTCGAGCTTCGAAGACTATTGCTCAATTTGATGTCAAACTTGGACTTCGTTGGTTGTGCGCTAAATGCAGATTTGGTTGAGCTTCATTAGTCGAACTCATCTCTAGTCAACTTAATCAACACTTGACCTTTCCTCTGCTGTGATATTCTTGACAAACTTGGAATTTGAAATGAAGGGCATATGTGTAACTTCCATGCGGTCCTGTTGCATTATATGCGGCAGCCTTCCTCAATTATTTTTCGTCGCAGGTTGATGACTTGAGGCGACGTGCGGCGACGGTTATGATTGTGAAAATTTTACAGTTGATCGACCTTCGTAGATGATTGACACGTGGCCACGTCCAACGACTAGGATTGCTCGATGAATGAAAGGCTAAGATTCATCGTAGATCTACAGTTATGGTAGAATCCCGCCCTTTTGTCTCTCATGCAACCACTATAAAAGCAGGCAACTTCGTTAGAATCCCACACACTTTGCAAATGTTTCCAGATTTCTTTGCTCTTACTCCGCCGCTGCTCTTTTGATTTCACAATGCTTTCGTGGTGAGCTTCTTCCACTTTTATGCTTTGGTAAGGCTTCTTTCTCCTTCTTTATTTATTTTTACACCTTTTGTGGTTGAGGGTGGCCATTTCCGTGGCCACATTAAACTTTTTAGGGTTTTTTTAGTGTTTCCGTTGATTTTGGGTTTAATGAGGGTTTACAGAGGTGGCCGCTGGAATCCTGGTAGCTCACTTGTGTTTGTTGTTTGACGCGAGCTACCTTGAGTGCCTAAACTGAAAGCAAAGTGTGGATAAATCACCAAATTTTTTAGCTTTGACATTTGTTCGCTTCTCTTTCAAGTACCCAGAAGTGAGCTTTCACCATGTCCTCATCAAGCAGCCAATAGTTCTTGGGGACATAATCCTTGAGGTTTTCGAGGACGTTGTTACATAGAGCTCGGACCTCGATGTTACAGGCACTTATGACCGCGCTTTCGCAAATACTCCTTCGCCGAAAAAATCTCCAGCTCATAGGCCCCAAAAGGAACCACGTTCCTCGATTGGGGTTGAGGATATTAAGTGCATAATTAAAGTTTATGCGCCTCAACTTTCCCTAAGGGCTCTGGGAGGCTTCTCCATGAAAAATCCCCGGTCGGTTGTGTGGCGATCTGAATGTCCATTCCTCCTCATTTCTTTGTTACCAATGTTTTGGAACAGTTCGGTGTCGTTCCCTTTCAATTGTCGACGAGCTTGTACATAATCATTGTAGGCATGTATATAGCATACCAAGTAGCTGACTTGGGCAAGCTATCTGTAGAAGAGCTCATCCATTTGTATAGGCTGAAAAAGAGTTAGGACAAAACATACTATCTCTCTAAGACAAGAAAAGTACATTTTCATGGTTTGGTCGATGTCCCAAAGAAAGTTCCATACTAGGACTTTTAGTATATTTTCTATGAGGTTGGGGAGATCGGTATTTTTGCCCCATAAGCTAGTAAGATTTTGACCATTATGCATGAAAAGAGTGCTTCCAAGCTCGACCGTCGAACTAACCAAATTCCTTTGCTTTGCAGTAAACGTTGAGCAAAACTTCCTTCCTAAAGCGAGCTTAGAGTGACTTCAACGTTTCAGCAATCTCTCCGACAACAGGCGCAATGTTATCGAGCTTATTATACTTCCTTGGCTGAGAGAGTATGGCTTTTGCGCCAGCGAAGCCAAGTTCAATACCATTTTTGAAAAAGGTAAAGTACTTGATTGCTCATTGTTTTTTGCCCTTGCTCTGTTAGGTCGCTAACCGTTTGCTTCTCCTTTTGCAGATATGTGGGTGAAAAAACCCAAGGGCCTAAAGAAGAAAATAGTAGTGCCTGGGGTTGCTAAGAAATCGCCGATCGTTCTGGTGAAGAAGTAGCCCGTTAATAATGTTAGGATGCTCAGGAAGGGTGCCTCGTGCTCAGTCCTCAAGCATAGTTGTGGCGAGCTTTGGGAAGACCCAAGTGCCAAGAAGCCCGCGATTGCCTCCAGGGCAGTCGGAGAGAAAGTTGCTCCTAAGCTTTCAAAGGGCTCAACGAAGAAAACCCTCGAGTTAGCTAGAGGCTCAAGGAAGCAGAAAATGTTCGAGCAGTAGGATGGCTCCAGCAAGAAGAAAGAGCCAGAGCAGTAGGAAAGCTCTGGCAAGAAGAAATCGACTAAGCCATACGAGGGCTCAGGAAAATAAAAAGTCATCGAGCAGCAAGGTGGCTCGGGCAAAGAGGTTGTAGGGTAAGTTAGTGGCCTGAAGAAAGCTACACCAAGGACTTGGCTAAGAAAAAGTCTTTTCCCATGGGTGAGGTTGTCATTTCCATGGGAAGTAAATTGAGCTCGCCTCTACAAGGAGGCAAAAAGGCAGATGAGGTAAATCGAGCTGTGTTTGATGCAATGGTCAATGGACTCCCTAAGCACAGTGTTGGGGCCTCAACGGTTAGGAGATCGTCACCTTACGGACTTTCACAGGTCTTAGAGATGTGTATCCTCATGAGCAGCTTGCTTGGGCATGCAGCTACGTGGCCAAGGTATTAACAGTTCACCCTACTTCCTTTTTTATGTGCTTCTCCTTATTCCCCGTTGACTTTTCTTTCTTTTCAGGCTTGTGTGGCGACCAAGATCCTCCTCGATGAAAGTTACCCCACATTGGAGGGTACTTACCTGGGGTGGCAAGAGGCAGAGAAGCTAAAGGAAGATGCTGATGAGAATGCAAAATGTCATATTTACTCCCACTTAATGTCTAGTCTTTTATACTTATTTGCTGCCTAAAGATACTCATTATTATTCTATTTTGATTTAGGATGCAAATGGAGGCGTTAATTGCGAAACGAAACTAATTAAGTGAATTCGGACAGTTTCGACATTGTTTCATAATCTGGGCATAACTCTGTCATCCGAGCTCCGATTGAGATGATTCAAATGTTGTGGAACTCTAAGAAAGAGATCTACAACTTTATGTTTTGAGTTTGGAGAGATACTCGCTTCATCAAGGTTGTAATCAAGCTTGAAGTTGACACACCTGCACTGCCGACAACTTTTTCCTCAACTGTTTCTCTTTACTACTACAAACTAGGTAGCAAACTAGGGATATTATTTATTTATTTATTTTTCTGTTTTGAAAAAGAATGAGTGCATTTTATGCTCCATCTCATTGCATGGTTGTGTTTATGAGTGAGTGCGTTTTACGCTCCATCTCGACTCACCACATGCCTTTCTTTTCTTTTTCCTATTTGCTTAAACCCAAATTTAGGACTAGCTTAAGAGAAACAAATTTTTTTTTTTTTCTTAGGGTTGTTATACACTCCTCAATCATGCTTCGTCACTAAGTTTGCACAACTTTTCAAGACATATTGTTTCAAACTTCAAAGATTCAAATCTGATTAACTCTATTTTATGAAAGATTGCTAACATCCTAAGTCAAGGAATATGCTCAACA